CCGATATACTGGTCAATCGGTATTCTTGCTTCTAGTGCTAGATATGATACCCGTACAAATTGCTTGTCGATTAAGAAAAATCGATTATATATAGTATGGGATGGAAGAATTGACACCTGGTAACCTGAGCAAAGAACCAGTCTTTGCTGTAGTCACTGACACCAACGGTATAAACCAAGTCTTGATCAGAATATAACTCTGAGTATCTTTCCCACAGTCCGTACTGCCTAAACCTGCCAAATGAAATCTTAGTTCATATCTTCTATACAGTCGTTTCTCATTTCTTCAAAATCACAGTCCGACACAAAATCATTCTTGTAATTTTTCATAGTATTTTTGTGTACACATGTCAGACTGTGATTTGCTGGTACTTGAAGAATATATGCGTATAAGTATGAATAACAGCAAGGGGCATATAACTAAGCTAACCTGTCAGGATGATTGACGAAGAGTTTGTTAATGTACTTTGGATTAGGGTCGGGAACATAAAACTCTGCAGCAGAACGATCCGGAATGCCTATTTCCCATAAAGTATGGCCATCTCTGGGAGGCTCATATACAAGATCACCCATATCAATGTCACAACCTGCATTGCTTGCACTGTTAATTTCCTTTTTTCTTTTCTACACTTTAGTAGCTGATAGGCAAAACGAAAGAAGTAAGCCCTACAAATTAACATTAGGGAATTAGTTGGACCACCTGAGGTTATAGTCATAACAACATCGTAATGATAATCTCCAATAAAACCAGGGACAGATGCATTCAGATTATAATCGCCCGTGCGTATCCCATTGATGCAAAAGTAGCCATCTTCATCGGTTGTGGTCCAGAATTGATAGTCCTGACTTGTAATAAAATGTGAGATTAAGAGCAAATTAAGTTGAGAATTATATGTTTGAACTAATTTGAACATGTAGAATTCAATCACCTTGCATTCTCTTTGCCACGATCCAATGTCTCCTGGCGGGGCTAACCCAACATACGCACCATTGACGGATATATAATCGTTGCTAACGTATCTTGATGTTGGATATCACAATAACCAAAATTCAAAACGGAAACATGTTTAGTGTCCATAGTTTTGGAATACAAGCTAATTACAAAAAATATTAAGGCATGACTAAAATAATTAACACGTATAGTTATGTACCTATCTTGAATAAGTAGTCTGCCCCTAACATTACCCCGCTCGTGTGACTTGGGAAATTCCTCAGATGCTGGGAAGCTGTAGGGCCAACACTGGACTTCCATCATCATCTGCAAAAGCAATACTACTCATCAATTTGATTAGTTAAAATAAAGGAGAATGATTCCCGCAGTATTTATGTCCTTGATCATTCTTTGTTGATTTACTCAATCCAAAAAGCAAGAATAAAAGAGGGTTTATAGGAGAGAAAATAGGTATGTGAAATCGTTTCCATTCAAATTAATGAATTGTCACTCTAAATTATATGCACTCATCACCATTCATGTGTTTTATATATGTGTGTATATGGAGTTTGAAAGAAAATTAAACAAAATTTGGTTAATATTGCTGTTAATTAATGTAAATTAAACCTGTGATTTAGCATCCTCCCATAACGAAAGTGGGTCATTTCCGTCATATGCTGAATTAACATACATGAAAACTGGCCCAAAAACTTTCTTCCATTCCTCACCCGCTGCAAATTTTGGAACCAAATCTTCTCCAGCATAATGTGCGCTTAGAAACATCTGATTGTACAATTCAAAATTATTAGCAATTTATGTAAACCTTATAACCTATATATGATGATAGATTTTCTCGACCAATACTGAAATAAATTTCAAGATTGATAAGTGTGGAGTGTGAATAACGTTACGTTGTAACAAATGCGACAGTGGTTGAGTTTTGGGTCTACTTACCGCAAGGGTGGTGGGGCCAACGTGGGAGGTAAGGTTCTGCTTAAAGGGTCCACCAGATCGAAACTCAGTGCTAGGGGTAATTTGCCAAAACCCCACTGGTGGCTCGGTGCATATCCACCCATGAACCTTATTATCCTTGTTGTCACATGAATATTGGTATTTGTCATCCACCTGATTAATTAAGCATCAATTAACTTAGGTAAATAATTAGATTGTCATCTTAAGAAAAGTTTTATTTCATAATTTTTGTTCTCAAGTAAAATAGAAGATTTAATGAGAAAATATATATAGGTAGGAAATATTGTTACTTCTCCTTTCAGCTCAGGCTCCACAGGATTGACAAGAAGAACGGCCTCCGGATAGGCCAGGGCTTGGCCTCTCGGTGGTGAACGGTCATCAGGCAAGGGCATGTTTCTTTGCCTATTGTCCGCCATGGCCATGTAGTGAAACCTTTTTATCCAAAATTCCACATAAATCGTCAATTAGATTAACTGTAATCATAGATCGATTCTGAACATTTCATTGTTTGTCAACACATTGTATTCGCCTATTTATTAGATGACAATTTGATAACTAAATAGTTTCATATTTTGGTGAATTTTTGCATAATTTCTTTCAATGATGACTTACAATTTGATCCTTTCAAATTATAAGAAATATTATGGAGTGGGACAGTACGAGTGATTAGCACCATAATAAAGTTATTACTTGGTTAGCTTTTACATAGAAAAAATTGAGGAATTTGTGTACTTGTCTTTTCTGAGTTTGAAGGCAATTCTGGTTTCTCCAAGCTCGAAAGCAGGCCAGTCCTTCAAGTGCTCGTAAATGGCGTAGGAATAGAAGCCTGAAGAACCTCGAAGCATAATGAACCTACAAATTTACGTATGATCATCATAATAATCGATATTATAAGTTTCAAGATCTTATCTTATATACACTTAATGCATTGGCAATGAACATGTATAGGCCAATGAGGACCTTTTATCAATATTTAAGGGTACGAGTTTGCCCTCTTGGGAGGGATCCCAGGTCCTTGTGAAAGAGAGCTCCACCTGTTCTTCAGTTTCCATTATAATCGTAAAGCTTGTTCCCTTGATCCTGCATGCAAATTGTTTCAATAATGTGTGACTTTGTTCAAACAGAGTATGGTTTGTTCAAATAGAATACGGATATAATAATCGAAATTATAACTTAATATTGTTGTCGAGGGAGCAGCTTGTTAGCAGGAATTCTGTCGTAGAAAGGGGATAGGTATAGGACCATCGCGTAGTGACTATGTATTAACCATCTAGGACCTATTATATATTTCACTGTTTCCCTTTTCTGCTCTACCAGAGCCTTATTGTCCCGTTTTTGCTATAGTAGAATGAGATCCCTGCTAACAAAGGTCTCTTGTTACAGAGAGGAGCTATATATATATATATATATATATATATATATATATATATTTCATGTAATAAGTTATATTAATTAGCTTATATAAGTTTCAAACTATGTACCAGCCAACTAGGTCTTGAGGATAGTGGTAATGGTATGATCTTTTCTCGGCATTGGAAGTATTCTAATCCTAAGTTCCTCGATCAAAAATGAAAAAGAAGGCAATTAAGTGGCCCGTTGTGAAATTCATAGTAATTTCATACTCAGTTGTTTTAAAATTAGAGATTATACAATGATATATTAGGACACATAATTGAGAAATATATTGTGTGATGTTCTGATTATACTATAAAGAGGGTAACAATATATCGGACGTACACATCAAATATTCCTGTTGTTCCAGTAGTAGCTGAGTTCCAAACAAGGTCCCAGTACCTACAATATTTTCCATTCAAATTAACTACATAATAAATAAATGAAACATATATCAATTAATCAGGACACTGAGAATTCTAAGTGATGACTGTTGTAAGTTGTGAAAATACCCTCTGTTAGATTCCTCGTTACGAATTTCAAGCAAGTTATCGATGCCATTGTATCGAATTCCAGTCACGATTCCCTCTGGCTTTGATAGCGTCACTTGGAGAATCCCATTATCCATCATTACCTGCAATTCATTTCACCATGAAAAAGTTTCAAACCAAACCAAAACATGCATGCATGCCTGCCTACAGATTTATCAAACTAACATGCAGAAAGTTAAGAAAAATTGCACTGCAGATTTTATCAGGTAACTTACATGGTGATCTTGAACAAGCAATTCAACCCCAATAGGTGCCATGATGGATGATCGATCGAGCTGATTTCTAGAACTTATTTCAATACAGCAATGGAAATATATATCAGTTTTTATCTAGTTTTATAGCAGTGACCCTCTAAAAGAAATTAATCAATTAATTAATTTATAAAGAATAATGTGATTACTAAAAAGCAAGATATAAAGGGATAATTATAAGAATACATACGTAGAGAGTAGAGTAGTTTACTTGGACTAAAAACAAAGCAAAGCTTTTCCAGCTTTCATTTGTGGTAACATATATGTTATATATGGTTTACTTAGTCGGCACCATTGCTTAATAGTTAGGCGTGCAAGACTCGCTTCGCTTTCTAGGCCACCGCTTTTATCACATATAACTTTGTTGTACGAATACTTTTACTTCTTTTGTTGAACTTGAAAGGATTGACAACTAATTTATAGGGATAGGATTCTGGGATCAAATCATTTACAAGTAGTGTTCCAACATTTTGATGAAAACAAAAACAACACAAGAAGTCTAACTAGAAATTGCACTAATTAAAATCCCGAGATTAGCGTAACTTTACCCAATATTATTCATGCTCAAGTTCGGAAAAATGCTCATAATTGCAAGCTCAAGCTGATCAACTCTGATAATTTTTTGAAGCTCTAATTTTTTATTGGCTTTGCTCAACTCATTCTTTAAACAAACTCAAGCTTTTGTTTAGTCCGATTTAATTTTCATAAAAACCTAATAAAATAAGCATAACAAAACTGTTGATATTAATGTTGCAAGAGTGTGCACAAAATAATAAGTTAGTACTTTAAAATGACTTCATATCCAACATAAAAAATACGAGCTGCTCTCAAGTTTTGTGAGCTGAACGCTCATCTCATTTTTCTAACGAGCCTAACATTTTGTTCAAGTTCAACTCGTTTAACATACAAACCGCGCTTGCATTTATTTTATTTTGAACTATAATTACATGTATGTATGTAATATTATTCAACTGTATGTATGTAGATATATGTACATGAAATATTACACACGCTGATACAAACATATGCACTTGAATCTAAGATGAACTGAAACTACAAGGTGGGGGACCTTCAAATCGTATATAATCGTACATAATCCCTTGGAAAGGACTGGTGCATCTTGGTTGTCTAAAGAAGAAAGTATTATTCCCCTCAACAAGCTGAGCGCCTGGTACGTTAATGTTGTACAGCCAGTAAATCCCATGGATTCCATGTCTTGCAACCGAGTTATCCCTCCCTATCAATCCACTTGTAAATAGAGGTCGCCTTGAATCTGGATCGTTAATCCGAACCTGACGAAAAGAAAAGGAAAGATAGATCAGTGTGATTTATAATCTACTAATGAAATAAATCATGATCTACATTACCTGCAATTCAGCAAGAGTTGCAGATGCAATTGCAACTCGCAATTTATAGCTACCGCTCCGATCCACATTTTTCAGTTCAAACTTGATCTGCCATGTTGTTCCTTCATGTCCGTTGTCTGTTTTCCTGCAGTACACGAGAAATTTAAGCACCAGGTAACCAGACGAGTGACATCTTCATTATGATTTTCACAATGAAGGTCATTATTTAAAAGAAGTAAAGAACCATACCTGGGAACCTGAGCAAAGAACCAATCTTTAGCATAATCACTAACACCGACAATGTAAACCAAGTCTTCATCGGGATATAATTCAGCATATCTGTTCCAGAGCCCATATTGCCTGAACCTGCCAGAAGGACAATGTGAAGACTGTAATAAAAGAAGTTATTACCGACCTCTTAAGCATTAACATAGATCCTTTATAGAGGTCCTACTCTTAACTAGGTTTGTTTCCCCCCTCACCCACTATCGTTTGCATCAAAGAAAAACATAGGTCCTCAATTTGGCTGATGGATCGTTTTAAATGAATAAAAGCCACATATAAGTTGATACAGAAAATTTTCCACCACTTGCACATTACGAGTACAGAAGGGTAGTTTTGATCACATTCATACGGCATTATGAAGATCCACAATCAATCAACTCTTTAACATTACAACAAATGATGGCTTGCCTGTCAGGATGATCTATGAAAAGTCTGTTGATATACTTTGGATCAGGATCAGGAACATAAAACTCTGCAGCAGAACGATCAGGAATGCCTATTTCCCACAATGTTGGCCCATCTCTTGGAGGTTCATACACAAGATCACCCATTTCGATAAAAGAACCTGTAGCACAAGTTATGAAACCAAAATGTGCAAGGAAGGGAAAGAAGAACTAGAAAAGGTTTAACAAAAAAACAATTGACTTTAGTATTTAGGAAGTTCAGAGTTAAAGAATATACCTGAGGTTATGTTAATGACAGCATCATACCGGTAATCTCCAATAAAACCAGGCACCCATGCATAAAGATTGTAAGTGCCAGTACGCACATTGTTAATAGAAAAATAACCACGGTCATCTGCCCTTGTCCAGAATTGATAGTCCTAAGAAATGTGATAACCATATAAGGATGTCTTTAGACATTGACTTATGGAATTTGAATCATGTTTCGCTACATATAGTATATAATATGGTTTTACCAGTCTAATTACTTCATATAATTTCGATATTAAGAGATATAACAAAAGGGCATGTATCAACGGCGTATTCTATGCCATAAAGTAGATCGCTCGAAACTTTTTCATGGTAACTGTGAGACCTTTAACACAAAAACCACAAATGTGGAATAATTTCCCACTGCTCGGTGACTGTGACCTGTAGTGAAGCCCAGCTATATTAAAGAATAGAACCCTACCTAGATTTCAAATTACTTAACATCATAAAAAAAATCAAAAACCATAAATTTTCTTCGACATAGCACATAGCTAATCAGCAAACATTGTGCAGCCCAAGATTCATATAGAGGTTCACAAAATTCACCTTGCATTCTCTTTGCCATGATCCCGCATCTCCTGGTGGGGCAAGACCAACATACGCACCATTTGCAGGTGTGTATTCTTCACTTATATACCTGGACATTGTAATTAAAGGACAGATCAATTTAGCATACTCGGCAAAAAATTTCAGGAAAATAAAAGAGGACATAATCAACCATTAGTTTTCTTATTTTTGTTTCTGGCAATGGGAGCCATCAATTTGATACTTGGAAATTGATTTATCATCCACTCATGTTAATTAATTGCTCATTTTCTACTGAAGTTTTCAAATGAAGATAGAAAAGAATAGAAAAGAAGTGAAACTGATAGTACTCAGATTTAGTAATTAATAGTACAGACCATAAAAGATAAAACTAATAATACAAACTAGTGTATCTAAATTCGAACCTGTCCAAGACAAGTAGTCTACCACTCACATTACCCCGTTGACCGGACTTTTGGAAATCCTCAGATGCGGGGAAACTATATGGCCAGCTTTGTACTTCTGTCATCATCTGAATACCATTTTGTGTCAGCAGTTTTTAATTAAAAACGTACTTTCCTGACTTTCCATCTTTAGAATGAAAGCAGGGTTGTTTTCTACGACAAACCTGTATTTTAGCATCCTCCCATAGCCAAAACGGATCATCTTTAATTGTGGAAGAATTGAGATAGATAAAAACAGGGCCGAAAACCTTCTTCCACGGTTTGCCACCCCTAAATTTTGGCACCAGATCTTGTCCCGCATAATGACTACTAAGAAACATCTGATGACACCAACAGAAAGGTCATAATCAGACTAATGTCCCAAAGTTATACCAACATTTCTGATGAGCAAGAATAATCACATACAGCAAGAGTGGTAGGGCCGACATGTGAGGTTAGGTTCTGTTTTAGAGGTCCACCAGATCGAAATTCATCACTGGGCGTGATCTGCCAAAACCCGACTGGTGGGTTGGTGCATATCCACCCATGAACCTTATTATCTTTGTTGTCACATGAGTACTGGTACTTGTCATCCACCTACAGCTCATAAAATTATAATAAAAGAACCGATGCATAACAAAAATATAACGAAAGAAATGCACTTAAAACCAAGGTTCTAAAAGACGCTAGGCGCTAGTCGGGCGGCCAGCTGGGGCCTAGCGCCTAGGCGGCTAGGCAGGGTCTAGGTGGGCGGCTAGGCAGACTAGGCGGGCGCCTAGGCAGACTAGGCGGGCGCCTAGGCAGACTAGGCGGGCGCCTAGGCAGACTAGGCGGATTTAATTAAATCTATTATATTTCGTGTAAATAAGTGTGTGTTTATGCTTAAAATATATATGATTTCATCATAAACTACAAAATAGAATGACATATCTATTATGAGTTATTGGAACATAATGAAAATGTGGGAACAAGCATATAAGGTGTGTTCATTTAAGTATTCAACAAAGTCTCTTACAATTTATTGAAAAAATAAAATACAAAATGAAAGTTATCTATTTTCTATCTAAGTGAGTCGCAACCTAGGCCGGTGGCTAGGCGGGTCTGAGCCGGCTAGGCGGGTGCCTAGGAGGTCTAGAAGTGTGCCTTAGTAGGTCTAGGCACCCTTTCTTAATTTTCAAACGCCTAGGTATTAATCGGGACGGTGGTCAACCGCCTAGCGCCTAGACGGCGCTAGGTGGGGATTTTTACAACAGTGCTTAAAACCCTCACAGAGGTTAGAATAAAGTCTTATTTAGTATGTGTATGGCCTTCAAAGTTCACAAGTTTAGTTTAGAAAGATCTTGACCCACTAACGGGTTATTTCCACCAAGAAAACCAATGACAATAGTAAAATAACTTGGAAGAATATGTTTGAAAATTGGCTCAATAGTCCCATGCCACCATCACCCCCAAAACAGAAAGACACTCCAACACATTAATATACAGTAGGAAGTTGTGAGAAAATACCTCTCCTGCGAGGTCTTTCATCTTGGGATCGACAAGTAGGACAGCCTCTGGGTAGGCAAGGGCTTGACATCGTCCTGATGACCGATCATCAGGTAGGGGCATGTATCTCTGCCTGTTGTCTGATACAGTCATGTATTGGAACCTATCAACTCAAATTGTACCATTGTTAATAACTCATATGCAAGCTAAAATACTTACATTTATGACTAACTTTTTGTTATATGCCATGGCATAAGCTGACTAGGTAATGTAAGACACACACACAAACTTTTTTCTTACTACAAGTTTGAAACGTCATTACGAAAAAAATCTATTTATAGGCAATTTCAGAATAGTTAAACACAGAAAAACAATATACTGCAAATAACTGATCCTGAGAACTCTAATAAGTACAAACTCCATAATCCCGGAGTTCTAATGAAACGAAACACTAATTCTTAGTTTGCACCTACCCGAAAATGAATACAAAGTATAGTCTCGTATGCAACATCATGTCTTCTAATAATTAGTTTGGTATAAACCACTGTGCAAAATGAGAAACAGTATTTGACAATATGAAAGCAGAAGTTTGTTTTGTTTACTTGTCTTTTCTCAGTTTAAAGGTTATTCTGGTTTCACCAATGTCGAAATCAGGCCAATCCTTCAGGTGCTCGTAAATGGCATAGGAGTAGAAGCCCGAGGAACCACGGAGCATTACAAATCTAAATGAAATACAGATAACACTATCATTGAAATAACAGGAATCACAATGTTACAGTCAGTTTAAATAAGCCAAGATCCTAATGTATAACTGGAATTGGCTGTACTGATAAGAATAGAAACTGTGTATGAATTCAGGAGAGACCTTTTGTCTATGTTTAGGGGAACGTATTTCCCCTCAAGAGAGCGATCCCATGTTTTTGAAAATGAGAGCTCAACCTGTTCCTCATTCTCCACTATAACCTTAAAAGTTGTACCTTTTATCCTGTATAGTTATCAGATAATTTCACTCCATCAGATAAAGTAAAAAGGTTGCTCCAGTATATCTAGAGAGAAAGGAGGGGAAATACATACACATCAAATATTCCCTTACTTCCTGGTGCACTCCAAACAAGGTCCCAATAACTACACAATCATTGGAATTCAAAGTCATAATCTTCAAAGACAACAAAGGCCAAATATATTATATTAAATGACGAAGAAGACGAGAGTAAGAAGGAGAAGGGGGAAGAGGGACAAAAATAGAAGCAACTAAACACGGCGATCATGTACCCTCTGTTAGTTTCCTTATTAAGAGGTTCAAGCAAATTGTCAATGCCATTATATCGTATTCCAGTGACAATGCCATCTGGGTTTGATAAGGTAACTTGGAGTATGCCATTATCCATCACCACCTGCACACGGATGCAAGTTCAAGCACAGAAAGCGAACATTAACATAACCGAAACACATTCATTTTTCCTCAACAAAAATCTAACTGATCAATTCAAATTATATCTATTTAGCAACTTCTAGCCTACAATAAGGCTGATCACTCACATGGGGGCCTTGAATATACAACTGCACCGCGGCAGATGACATAGTGTACGACACTTGATATCAATTGGAGCTTGTTTGCCACAAACAACCCAGATTATGAATTTCTGAAGCACACAAAAAACCCAAATTTATGATGTTCTATGTGCAAGAAATGTGGCGCAATCCGATCATGGAAAATATGTAATTTGCAATAATTACCCAGATGGAATATCAATTTCATCCAATTGACTCTTTCCCAAAAACCAAAAACACATGTACAAATATGTAAAGATCAAAATTTTTAAGAAATGAAAACAATATCTGCATTTGTTAAAGCTGTGATCACTTACACGAGAGAGATGGGTTTGCTCGGGTTTGTGAGATCACCAAGTTGCCCCGGAAGATGTTATCGTCTTCTTCCCTCAACGTTGATGGGTGAGTGAGAGGGGAGTAAGTGTGATGGGTGGTGGCTGAGTGAGAGTGAGCGTGATGGGGGGGGTGGGGGTGGCATAGGATGATTAATTTGACAGTTGACAACTTGATACCCTGCCGTTGCCGCGCATTTGGGAGAATTGAGGACGGTTTGCTATGGCCAAATTTTCTTGTACGTATTTATTTATTTATTTGTTATTATTATTATTATTTATTTATTATTATTTTTCCTTTTGTCAAAGTTATTATTATTATTTGGTTTTTTATCACAAATGGTTTCTTAAATTGACCTTCACCATCGACATGGTCCCTGAAATTGAAAATCAATCAATGTAGTCCCTGAAAATAAGTGTTGCAAATCAATGTGATCATTTTTGTCACAATTCTGTTAAAAATTCCATTAAGTGCTGATGTGGCACATAAATGGATCTCATAAGTCTTTTTTCCTCACAAATGGTCATTGAAATTGACCTACGACATCAAAATGGTCCCTAAAATTGACATGCAACATCACAATGGTCCTTGAAATTGAAAATCGATCAATGTAGTCCCGCAAGTAAGTGTTCCAAATCAATGTAGCATGTCCATCACAATTATGTCAAAAATTTTGGTATCTACTGTTGTGACACATAAATGGATCACACAAGTCTAATTAAATTAAAAAATTACAAATAAGTTCAATAATTTAGAGGTATTTGTTGATATGCCCCCTTGAACTTGTATGCAGCTGCCAATTTCATCCTGAACTTTAATTTTAGCGATGACCCTTGTGAACTATTTTAAATAGCCAATTTTCCCCTTAAACTTTAATTTTAGCCGATCTCCTCTATGAACTTTTATAAATAGCAATTCCCTCTTGGCGTTAGATTTTAAAAACTTTTATTCAATTTTTCATCCATCCAATTTTTTCCCTTTTTGCCCTCATATGGTTGTCATGTGTTGTTTTCGTGAACAAGATGGATGGAAAATTAGATGAATTTTTTAAAATCTAACACCAAGGGGGAAATTGGCTATTTATAAAAGTTCAGAGGATAACCGGCTATAATTAAAGTTCAAGGGGAATTGGCTAACTATAAAAGTTCAATGGGGTAATCGACTAAAATTAAAGTTTTGGGGAAATTGGTAGCTCCATACAAGTTCAGGGGACAATTCGACAAATATGCCAATAATTTAATAGTTAATAAAAAGTTGTGAACCAAAAACCCAGTTCTGCAATCACCACCAATCCTAGTCCACATTCCTCTACCTTCTTCGTTGTCTATTCTCTAAAAAAAAAAACTCAATACACTCATCTTTAAACATTTTGACACCCTGTCACTGAATTGAAATTTGGATCGAGATCAAATTTGGTGACAACTTGGCTGATTGGTAACAACTTCTAGGACATCACAATTAACATTTACGTTATCAACATCCTTGAAACCTTAATCTTGGAGAGGTCTGCCTTGAGATAATGAGGTTATAGTTGTGGTGCATTTAGTGTTGGTTGAAAAACTATTCCAACCCCCCTTAGGCCTTTGTTAAGCTTGTACCTTCGAATTTATGGAAGGGATCTCTCGTCGGAGTAGATCCTACAATAAGAAAAAATTCTAATTGTGGGCAAAAATGTATTTAGACAACTTTTTTAATTACTTATTAAACCCACATTTAGCACATAACAATTTTTTTTAAAGAATGTAGCGAAATGATGAGATTGATTTGTGACTCTATTTTCAAAGGACATATTCATCGATTTTCAATTTTAGGGATCATCTTGATGGGGTGGGTCAATTTCAAGGACCATCTTAACAGTGTGAGTCAATTTCAGGGACCATTTGTGATAAAAACCCGTAAATCATGTGGGGCCCATTTATGTGCCACATTAGCACATTACGAAATTTTTAACAGAATTGTGATAGAATGACCATACTGATTTGTGACACCTATTTTCAAGGACTACATTGATTGATTTTCAATTTCAGAGACCATCTTGATGGCGAGGGTAAATTTCAGGAACCATTTGTAATAAAAACCTTATTATTTTGAGTAGAGTGATAAGGAGTGCGAAGAGCCGACAAGATCGAACTTGCACTAAGGTATATAGACTTAGTTTTTTATTGTTACTGCGGTAAAGCAACATCATTTTATTTATCTTGATCAAATGCCAAATTGCCCATTTTTTGAAAAAAAAAATTATGGCCACAACTTAACAAATTTAAGAAAGTTTTTAATACAAGTGATATCGAAAGGGAGAATTAAACTTCTTTAGGCATACCTCGCGTAACTATTTTCTTTTAATATAATATTTTCATTACATTTTCCATTCCATTGCTCGTTAAGAGCTGACGTGGCTGCCATATTTGTGCCATCTGGCTAAACAATTAATTAAAAAAATAAAAATATTAATTAAAAAAATGTGAAAAAAGAAAGAACCCAGAAATCCATTCCTCCCCCCCCCCACCTCCTCCGCAACCCCCCCCCCCCAACCCCATCCCCACCTCCCCTACAACCCCCCACCTCCCCGGTGGTTGCTCCCACCGTTCATTGTCTTCTTCGACGATTCCCGATGCACCCAGATAACTCCAACGGTGGCTTTTCCGTCGTTCCCCATCGATGTCAAACCACCACCATGACCCAATGTTTCTCGTGGAACAAACAAAAGTTTGCACTTGGTGATTTTCAAACCCCAAGCCCTTGAATCGAAGAGCCCAGTCTCGGACTCAACTTCCCTCGGTGATGTTCTCGTCGTTTTCGACAATGGTAAGCCTCGAGGATCATAGAGGCTCTAATGGCCTCTGCACATTCGTCCCCGACACCTCTCGTTCTTCAATTTGTTCAAACATTAGGACCCCAATTTCAGGGACCTCCATAACACCATCTTCAATTAACAAGCCTCTTACATGGAGAAGAAGATGTGGGAGCGAGAGAGAGGAGAAGGGAGGAAGAAGAAGGAGAGACTTATGAGAGCGAGGGACCACTTTAAGGTGGAAGAAGAAGATGAACAGGCAGTGGGGGTGGGTTTTTGGATAGGAGGTGAGGTGAAGAGTGGAGGAGGGGGAGGGGGTCCAGGGGGGAGGAGAGAATGGGTTTCTTTGTCTTGTTTTTTTTTATTTTTTATTTTATACTTTTTTTAATTAATTGTTTAGCCACGTGGCACAAATGGTGGTAGCCACGTCAGCTCTTAATGGAGCAATGGATGAAAAATGTAACGGAGGTATTATATTGAAATAAAATAGTACGTGAGGTATGAAAGTGAAATGTTTTGAAGATGTTGTATGAGGTTGTAATAGACCTCAAACCTAAGGTGGTAAAGTGTAATTTACCCAATTTATTAGTGGAAAGTTTTTCCAAAGGTTTGCATAGTTTTTTTTTTTTTTTTTTAATATTTTTGCTCATCATCGTGAAGTAATAATAAGTAGAGTGATGATCACCACTCAATATACCACTCTTGGATGAGTTATAATTTCGAGATTTGTGTAATGGATAGACACAAATCTCAAAATTTACACTCATCAAATGATAATAAGTAAGGTGATGAGCAATAATACCATTTAAGGATACGCACCCCTTAACTTGTTTGGTAATTGGAAAGTAACAACAGAATTTAGAAACAAATTTGCTTTTTTTTTTTTTCTTCCTAGAAGTGTTTTAAAAATCAGCCAAACTCTAGGTTGTCTATTACTGCAGTGATTAACCTCTAAGTGGTCACAAAATCAAAAAGAAAAAAAATATTGTTGCAAAGCCGTTGGTGCAACTCACGATAAGAAGATACCACCGTTTTATCTTTACTAGGAAGGCATCGATTTCCTAAAGTTGCAATGATTTTGATTACATGATTATCCCTTTTTTTTCTCTTTGAAACGACCTCACCGTCTTTGTTTTACTGATATTTCGATTTGAATAATAGGTAGATCAACTTTTTAGACCATATTTGTAAAATATGTGACGTGTCACTAATAGAAAATAAACATGTTAATCAACTTTTCTTTTAACCCATAATCTTCTGGCCTTTTGTTTTTACTAGTCTTCATGCACACGAGTACAAAAGACATTTTTTGAATCACGGCGTGCTACGCGCGACTACATAGTTTTTGAATCACATTATTACTAGCCCATTGTGAGGCTAAGCCTACTTCTCCCCTTAGGGTAGATAATATTGTTTGTTCAAAAAAAAAAAATATCATTTGACAACTAATTGAATCATATTATTATGAGCGTGTGAAAAATCTTTTTTTATAACCGGCACTACGTCTCTTAAGATGTTTTGAACGTGTTTGAAAATAGAGAAAATAACCTTTAATAAACAACTGATTGAATCACATTATTACTAGCCCATTGTGAGGTACTAATTATAAAAATAAAAATAAAAAATGCTCAAAAAAATTAATTATAAAATAAAAATACTATTTATATGACGAAAATACCCTTACATTATTTTGGACTGCTTTTGAACTTTTTTGTTTCTGTGCATTTTTGTCCCATTATATTTGGTGAAGCTCGTGATCTCAAATCTCCGTTGTTAAGCACGTGCAAAAAGCATATTTTGAATCACGGTGCTAAGCGCGACTACACATTTTTTTGAATCATATTATTACTAGCCCATTGTGAGGCTAAGCCCACCCCCTCTTCTTTAGTGTAAATAATATCGTTTGTCAAAAAAAAAAAAGAACAATCATTTGACAACTAATTAAATCACATTATTATGTACGTGTGAAAGACATTTTTTTATAACTAGCACTACGCCTCTTAAAGATGTTTTGAATATGTTTAAAAATAGAGAAAATAATATTTAATAAATAAATGATTGAATCACATTATTGCTAGCCCATTGTGAGGTATTGATTATAAAAATAAAATAAAAAACTGCACAAAAAAAATTAATTATAAAAAAAATACTATTTATATGATGAAAATACCCTTGCATTATTTTGGACTGCTTTTGAACTTTTTTGTTTGTGGGCATTTTGTTCCCATTATTTTTTGTGAAGCCCGTGACCCCAAATAAGGCTGCTAAGCATGTACAAAAAGCATTTTTTGAATCACAGTGCTATGCACGACTACACAATTTTTTGAATCACATTATTGCTAGCATATTGTGAGGCTAAGCCCACCCCTTCCCCCTTAGTGTAGATAATATCGTTTGTTAAAAAAAATCATTTGACAACTAATTAAATCACATTATTACGAAAAACTTTTTTTATAATCAGCATTACGCCTTTTAAGATGCTTTGAACGTGTTTAAAAATAGAGAAAATAATATTTAATAAATAATTGATTGAATCACATTATTACTAACCCATCGTGATGTATTGATTATAAAAATAAAATAAAAAACTGCACAAAAAAATTATTTATAAAAAAAATACTATGTATATGACGAAAATACCCCTGTATTATTTGATGCATAACTTGAGCTGCTTTAGAACTTTTTTTGTTTGGGGGCATTTTTGTCCTATTATTTTTGGTGAAGCCTGTGACTCTAAATGGGACTGCTGGCTTTATATAGTAAGTATAGATACAGATTATCCTTCCTTTTGTTTCGCTAATGTTTTGTTCTTTAGTTTGTTAAGACCCAACCATATTACGTCCCACTAATATATTTACTTAAAATCCTCACATTATATATATTCTTCTTTTAAAAAATAATATATGATTCAATGCTTATACATACTAATCTCTCCAAACGTTGTACCACGCACGTGAGAGGCCTTTATTTAATCATGCATGCAGAGAGATTAGTATATATCACACGCCTTTTAAACAATTTGCCCAAATTGAAAGCAGTCACTACTGTTGCCCCTTCTTTTGGAGGTCTTGTCGTTGTTGGGTGTTATTTCTTCCTTGTCATTCTTTCTTCTTTCTCCCCACACAATTCCTATTATCAATATAAAATCATGCAAAAAGTACCGAGTAAAGCAGAGGTTAAAATTAGAAGAAACCTTACGACTCCAAAGAGAAAAACTTAATTGCGTTCCAAAGCTGAAACTGAGCTGAAATATTTGTTGGTAACGTTATCTTGCACAATACACTTGAAAAGTTAGGATCTAATCATTGTTCTAAAAATCCTCACCTAGTCACTAGACGGTTGGCCACCTTTCCGATTAATCTCTAGGCGTTTGAAAATTAAGAAAGTACGCCTAAATCTACTTAGACTGTAGTACTAAGTGACACTCTCTTAGTATTTGGATTTACCAAAACTAAATTTTCAATTTCTTGACCCAAGCAACAAAAATATTCACATAGGTGCATGAAATTATACCATCGATTGAGATCTTACTCTTAAGGTCTCGTTTTCATTTTAAGGAAATTGAAAGGGGATTAAACATGAAAGTTAATCAGTAATACGTAAAAGTTAAAAACAGTGCCCACAAACGAAGTGGCATGCCAAGGAAATAAGGCGAAAAATAAAAAAGCGTAACAAGTACAATCCCAGAAAAACAAAAAAACCTTGTCCTATTAAGTGGAGTCGGCTGTATGAATAAAATAGTATGTGGTATGGAAAAAGATGGCTGTATTTCCCGTGTTTACTTTACAATGGTCATATTTATTCACCCAAAATAACGAAATTAATAGTACAAAACAAGCATATTAATAACCAGAAAGTGTATTATCACAATCTCAATGGAGTTTAATACGGTTACAACAGCGGGTACGACTTCAGAAGATTTACGATACATATAAACTGAAGCTTAAAAAAGATTTACATAACCCAATGAGTCCATTTCCTCAATTGCTAATGCACTTGACTCTCGTCTGGCTTTCTCTGGAAAAAAAGAGACCCTAATAGTACAGCAATACCTGTTAGTGCAATGGTGATAATAAGTAGAGTGATGATCACCACTCTATATACCACTCTTGGATGAGTTATAATTTCGAGATTTGTGTAATGGATAGACACATATCTCAAAATTTACACTCATCAAATGATAATAAGTAAGGTGATGAGCAATAACACCATTTAAGGATACGCACCCCTTAACTTCTTTGGTAATTGGAAAGTAACAATGAAATTTAGAAACAAATTTGCTTTTTTTCTTCTTCCTAGCAGTGTTTTAAAAATCAGCCAAACTCTAGGATGTCTATTACTGCCGTGATTAACCTCTAAGTGGTCACAAAATCAAAAAGAAAAAAAATATTGTTGCAGAGTCGTTGGTGCAACTCACGATAAGAAGATACCACCGTTTTATCTTTACAAGGAAGGCATCGATTTCCTAAAGTTGCAATGATTTTGATTACATGATTATCCCCTACCGTCTTTGTTTTACTGATATTTCGATTTGAATAATAGGTAGATCAGCTTTTTAGACCATATTTATAAAATATGTGACGTGTCACTAATAGAAAATAAACATGTTAATCAACTTTTCTTTTAACCCATAATCTTCTGCCCTTTTGTTTTTACTAGTCTTCATGCACACGAGTACAAAAGACATTTTTTGAATCACGGCGTGCTACGCGCGACTACACAGTTTTTGAATCACATTATTACTAGCCCATTGTGAGGCTAAGCCTACTTCCTCCCCTCAGGGTAGATAATATTGTTTGTTCAAAAAAAAAAATATCATTTGACAACTAATTGAATCATATTATTATGAGCGTGTGAAAAACCTTTTTTTTATAACCGGCACTACGTCTCTTAAGATGTTTTGAACGTGTTTGAAAATAGAGAAAATAACCTTTAATAAACAACTGATTGAATCACATTATTACTAGCCCATTGTGAGGTACTAATTATAAAAATAAAAATAAAAAATGCTCAAAAAAATTAATTATAAAATAAAAATACTATTTATATGACGAAAATACCCTTACATTATTTTGGACTGCTTTTGAACTTTTTTGTTTGTGTGCATTTTTGTCCCATTATATTTGGTGAAGCTCGTGATCTCAAATCTCCGCTGTTAAGCACGTGCAAAAAGCATATTTTGAATCACGGTGCTAAGCGCGACTACACATTTTTTTGAATCATATTATTACTAGCCCATTGTGAGGCTAAGCCCACCCCTCTCCCTTAGTGTAAATAATATCGTTTGTCAAAAAAAAAAAGAACAATCATTTGACAACTAATTAAATCATATTATTATGTACGTGTGAAAGACATTTTTTTATAACTAGCACTACGCCTCTTAAAGATGTTTTGAATATGTTTAAAAATAGAGAAAATAATATTTAATAAATAAATGATTGAATCACATTATTGCTAGCCCATTGTGAGGTATTGATTATAAAAATAAAATAAAAAACTGCACAAAAAAAATTAATTATAAAAAAAATACTATTTATATGATGAAAATACCCTTGCATTATTTTGGACTGCTTTTGAACTTTTTTGTTTGTGGGCATTTTGTTCCCATTATTTTTTGTGAAGCCCGTGACCCCAAATAAGGCTGCTAAGCATGTACAAAAAGCATTTTTTGAATCACAGTGCTATGCACGACTACACAATTTTTTGAATCACATTATTGCTAGCCTATTATGAGGCTAAGCCCATCCCTTCCCCCTTAGTGTAGATAATATCGTTTGTTAAAAAAAATCATTTGACAACTAATTAAATCACATTATTATGCGCGTGCGAAAAACTTTTTTTATAATCAGCATTACGCCTTTTAAGATGCTTTGAACGTGTTTAAAAATAGAGAAAATAATATTTAATAAATAACTGATTGAATCACATTATTACTAACCCATTGTGAGGTATTGATTATAAAAATAAAATAAAAAACTGCACAAAAAAAATTATTTATAAAAAAAATACTATGTATATGACGAAAATACCCCTGTATTATTTGATGCATAACTTGAGCTGCTTTAGAACTTTTTTTGTTTGGGGGCATTTTTGTCCTATTATTTTTGGTGAAGCCTGTGACTCTAAATGGGACTGCTGGCTTTATATAGTAAGTATAGATACAGATTATCCTTCCTTTTGTTTCGCTAATGTTTTGTTCTTTAGTTTGTTAAGACCCAACCATATTACGTCCCACTAATATATTTACTTAAAATCCTCACATTATATATATTCTTCTTTTAAAAAATAATATATGATTCAATGCTTATTTTTACTAATCTCTCCAAACGTTGTACCACGCACGTGAGAGGCCTGTATATATCACACGCCTTTTAAACAATTTGCCCAAATTGAAAGCGGTCACTACTGTTGCCCCTTCTTTTGGAGGTCTTGTCGTTGTTGGGTGTTATTTCTTCCTTGTCATTCTTTCTTCTTTCTCCCCACACAATTCCTATTATCAATATAAAATCATGCAAAAAGTACCGAGTAAAGCAGAGGTTAAAATTAGAAGAAACCTTACGACTCCAAAGAGAAAAACTTAATTGCGTTCCAATGCTGAAACTGAGCTGAAATATTTGTTGGTAACGTTATCTTGCACAATACACTTGAAAAGTTAGGATCTAATCATTGTTCTAAAAATCCTCACCTAGTCACTAGACGGTTGGCCACCTTTCCGATTAATCTCTAGGCGTTTGAAAATTAAGAAAGTACGCCTAAATCTACTTAGACTGTAGTACTAAGTGACACTCTCTTAGTATTTGGATTTACCAAAACTAAATTTTCAATTTCTTGACCCAAGCAACAAAAATATTCACATAGGTGCATGAAATTATACCATCGATTGAGATCTTACTCTTAAGGTCTCGTTTTCATTTTAAGGAAATTGAAAGGGGATTAAACATGAAAGTTAATCAGTAATACGTAAAAGTTAAAAACAGTGCCCACAAACGAAGTGGCATGCCAAGGAAATAAGGCGAAAAATAAAAAAGCGTAACAAGTACAATCCCAGAAAAACAAAAAGACCTTGTCCTATTAAGTGGAGTCGGCTGTATGAATAAAATAGTATGTGGTATGGAAAAAGATGGCTGTATTTCCCGTGTTTACTTTACAATGGTCATATTTATTCACCCAAAATAACGAAATTAATAGTACAAAACAAGCATATTAATAACCAGAAAGTGTATTATCACAATCTCAATGGAGTTTAATACGGTTACAACAGCGGGTACGACTTCAGAAGATTTACGATACATATAAACTGAAGCTTAAAAAAGATTTACATAACCCAATGAGTCCATTTTCTCAATTGCTAATGCACTTGACTCTCGTCTGGCTTTCTCTGGAAAAAAAGAGACCCTAATAGTACAGCAATACCTGTTAGTGCAATGGTGAACATAAGCCGCTTCCGTGAAAACTCGTTCGCCTGTCTTCTTGGAGGACCCTGCCTTCTTTCAGCTGCCCTATCATCCCTTTAGATGAAAATCCAAAAATTAATACCCACGACAGATGAACACAACAGGGTCAACACTTAACCAGTCACCGTAATTCTAAGATTAGACTGTCCCTAATGTCAACCAATGACTAAATGTGCTAAAAAGGTTAGGCAGTTTCAAATAAGGTAAATAAAATAAATTCTTTCCCAGCTCATTCAAAGACGGTGAAACGTTGACAGTGCAGGATTACAAAAGCGGAGGTTTTCACAAGATCAACCAACCTGAAGAAATCTAATGAATCTGATGCACTCATAATCAGATTGTAACACCATGCTAACTAAAATGTAAATCAGCTTGTACTGCGAGCATGAGCTAGTAATCACAATATCTTGACTCAATTTCACTTCTCTTGTTACTTTATCGCACTAACAACAAAAAGTTACAAATGAACCCCAAATTAAAAAGAAACAAACTTCAAAGACTGATGGGTTAGTGTGTGATAGAATAATTGGGGACACTTTTCATTCCCTTTTTCTTTCCAAATAATTATTTACGCAGTTTCAGTATCTAGGATTCAATTGGATAACTCACTAGACTCAAGGTATGTTGAAGCAAGGAAAGAAGGTCAACATCCAAATTTTATCCCTTATGAAGGTTAGAATATGGATTAGTCATGAAGGAAACTTAATTCCTTCTAATCCTACCATTTTGTGGGGATTGGAGGGAATTTTCCTTCATGACTACTCCATCCTTGGACAAAATTAAGAAATTGACCTTCAATTCTTCAACATAGATCGAATCTAGTGGGTTATCTAGTTTAATCCAATCTTAGAAACAACCAAAAGTGACAAAAAAGGATAAATTTGTAATATTACTATGAGTAACTATTACTGATACTAGCGTTGGAACCTAGAGGACCAACATATTCTTCCCAAACCAAGTGAAACTAGTTGGGGTAGGGGGGAGGGATATGAGATAGGCATGTCCAATAATCTATAACTATACCTATAAAGCACAGGTAGTTGACCTTCAATTATAAGTTACAAGATGGCAAGTAAATTTGTTCTTAGGCCTTCTCACAAGATATTTCATTAAATTGCTCAATTACACACAACTATAATATCAAGGTTCTAAAAGACACTAGGTACTAATTGGGCGGCGAGCTGGGGCCTAGCTGACTAGGAGGATTTAAGTATATTTATTATATATGGTACAAATAAGTGCTTGCTTATACTTAAAAAATATAGAATTGCACTAGGATAAATAAATTGCAAAATAGAATGACATATAGATTATAAAGTATTTGAACATAATAAAAACATGGGGAACAAGCATATAATGTGTGTTCATCTAAATATTCAACAAGTCTCTTACAATTTATTGAAAAAAATAAAATGCAAAATGAAAGTTATCTATTTTCCAAGTGAAAGTCATGATCTAGGGGGGTTTGGGTGGGCGCCTAAGTAGGTATAGGCGCCATTTCTTAATGTTCAAACGCCTATGGATTAATTGGGGCGGTGACCAACAATCTAGTGCCTAGGCGTGGCCTATACGGCGCTAGGCGGGGATTTTTAGAATAGTGTATAATACTATAACATACGATTTAATATATGGAAAATGCTAAATGATAGTAACCAACCTGGAAGGACCGGCGGTATTATCTGAGATACCATTACATCTACTTTCATGATTATAGCGTTCTCGCAGTCTGATGTATCTGTTACAAAGATGACAAAGTTCCGTTCGATTCCCGCATACTTCCTACAATTACAAAGAAGCACTGAGATAACAGTAACACTGATTTGGTGCTGATGTATATTATCCAATGTCATCAAATTTACAATTTTGTTCAGTGTTTACCTGATGCTCAGCAAGATCAATTGCAGGCAATGGGAACTCACAGAAGTCACATGTGACAATTCTCTGAGGGCAGTTTTCACCTTTGTGGGTAGCTAATATTTCACGTTCCATTGTCTCACTACAAAGTGAACAGGCTACCTGCAATAATACATGACAATTCGGATGCAAACTATTGACAGTTAAATGGTATATTTACCCAATTTAATATGATAACCAAACAAAATGCATTGTTAAGTAATTAAAAAAATAAGACAAAAAATGGGCACGTGCAGAAAGGTGTGCTCAGGCTACAATATAGATGGAAAAGCTTTCACTCTATTAAAATGAACAAGCAAGAGGCATAATTAATGATTTGTATGCTTCCCGAATAATATGAACCTTTCATTTCAATTTGACTGCTAAGTAAACTGACAAGGAGCTTGATACAGATGCAAAAGTAATTTAGGATCATAGACATGTTTTAATCATAATATATCATAAATAGCATATTAAAAAGCTACTTGAGACACTTGGTGCCCCTACAAGGAGTTAATAATTAATGACCGAGTAGTAAATAATTTCCAACATTGTACTACCAATAGGGTATCCATAATGCTTGAGTAGTAAATAAGGAGATAGGCAACTACAGAGGTGGAAGAGAAATGAGGAGGGAGAAGCCAATTTGGATTTTGCAATGGCATATGAACTCTTTCTAGCCAATACCTTCTTTAAAAAGAGTGAAGAGCATATGATTACTTTCAAAAGTAGGTCATCAAAAACACAAATAGATTTCTTCTAATGAGGAAGGCAGGCTGTATAACTTGTAAGGATTGCAAAGTTATACCAGTGGAGAGCTTGGCTAACCAACGTCGATTGTTGGTAATGGATGTGCATATCAAAAGAGATAAAAGGAAGAACATGACCTTCATCCTTCATGTGTCTAGATGGTGGAATCTAAAAGGACAAAAAAAAAAAAAAAAAAAAAAAAACTTTCAAAGAGAAAGTACACACCCAATGCATTTGGGATATATAGGGGAAAGCTAGCCAAATGTGAAATTCCATGGCTACTTGTATCCGAAAAGTTGCAGAAGGGGTATTAAAAAAAGTCCAAGGGTTTTGCTCCACATCAAAAGAAATCTTGGTGGTGGAAAGTGGAGGTACATGAAAAGGTTAAGGATAAGAAGTACAAGGATAGAACCGAACCGATGAAATAGCGAAGAAGGAGGCAAAGAAAACCATGAGAGAAGCAAAGCTAGCTGCTTTTGACATGTATAAGTGATTAGATAATAAAGAAGGAGAGTTGGATATCTATAAATTGGTTAGAGCAAGGGAAGGAAGACAAGAGACCTGAACCAAGTAAGGTGCATCAAGGATGAGAATGGAAATATTCCAGCTACGGAGAATGCCGGTTAAAGACAGATGTAGAGCTCATTTCATAATCTTTTCAATGAAGGACACGACACGAGTACTTCTTTGGTGAGTTGAGTAACTCTGAACAGTTTAGAAATTACTCCGTCTACCACTGAATCAAGAAAAAGGAAGTGGTTGTGCCTTTGAAAAAGATGAAGTATAGAAAAGCAATGGGTCTCAACAATATACTGATTGATGTGTTGAAGGTCTTCAGAAAGACGGGTATAGCACGACTCACAAACCTTTTCCATAAGATTTTAAAAAACGAAGAAGACGCCAATTTAGTGGCGTTGGTGCCTCTCTACAAGAATAAGGGTGATATACAAAATTGCATGAACTATAGGGGTATTAAGTTAATGAGTCATAATATAAGTCAACTCGACAAAGCCCTGAACTGAACGAGGCAGACAAAATGGATTCTCTTTTAACTATCCCAGTTGGAAGAGACATTGTTTATAAGATACTTACCATGTTCACACGTACAGGCTACAAGCATCAAAGTTCTACACAAAAGTGGCTATCAACTTATTGTATTAAAACAACCCAATCAATCTTAGTGTCAAGACAAGAATAACAGTCGGCTGTACATGGATTCTCATATGCCTCCAATTATCATCTAGAGAAGGCATCTCTGTATGCTCAAATACTTTTACAATAAAACTAAAGACCAGATTACATATGTTAACATGGCGGCCTAGGACTTGGAGAATTTAGGTTTATGAAAGTTACCATGGTGGAGTGACATCTGAAGGGTTTAATTTAAATGAAAAAAATTAGGCAAATCAGGTAAAAATTTCTTATAGAAGTGTTCAGCAAACAAGTAACTAATACAATTGATAAGATAACAGAAAAGCAAATGAGATCCTTCACTCCCAGAGCATGAGAACAGTCAACCCAAATTCAAATATTGTAATCTAACTTCTGACATTTAATACTCCGTAAAAACTGGAAAAGTTTATGCCAAACAAAAGCAGGGCAATCGTAGGTTTTAACTTAAAACTAACAGGAGAAACTGCCTTTTGTTTAAAGTTTGATGAACTGCACTAGGAAGAAAAGCAAATATGGAAACACACATACCGGAGCATGGGTGTTCGAATAATGTTCCTCAGCATATTTTTTTGGAACCATATCACCACAGACTTTACACTTTTCTAGATTGCGGAAGCAATGAACAGAGTGCAAGTCAATATTTGATGAGGGGATAGCTCTGTCACTGGAAACAAAAACAAAAATATGTCCGTTAGGAGAGTACAGTTAGCGTCATGAAGCATCTGGATGTTTACAAACCATTAAGCAAAGTAAACAACTTTGAGGCATAGAACATATAAGGAGTGTGTTTGATCTTGTAAAATCGAACACACAGTAACGCATTCAAGAGATTGTAGAGGGAAAGCAAGCTGGATTGCCTCAATGCCTAAATGATCTCAGCTCAAGGTAAGAAAACACCCAACTACGTCAATTTTTAACAACTTCAGCATCAATCAATTGGGTATCTCAGAAAGTTCAGACCAACTGCTAAAAAATTAAAAAACACAAGAACCCACTTCATAATTATGCTAAAATCATGATTTTCTCTAATTGGAGTCCCCCAGATTTCTCAAACCATGCATAAAAATAGTCCCAGAATTACAAAATTCAAAGACAGAAACTCCCAAAAAAGATTAATTACCAGTGATTGCATATTGTGGTTGCTTCTCCAGATGCAACAGCCATATCGATTCAGAAAATTAAGCCTTATATCTTGAAAAACGAAACCAGATATCTGCAAAAAGCAAATTAGGCAACAAATCACATGAAATTATTGGGGGGAGAAAAGAAGGAGAATTTGTTGGATGAAAATTACCGAAAGCAAAAAGAGCTTCTGTGTTTCGGCAGACTTATAATTATTGTTAATTTTTTGATCAAACGAAAGGGAAGGAGCAGAAGAGTAATATATGAGGCAAAAGTCTAAGTCTAACAAGCCGGTTTCACTTTTTTTTGTTTGAAGGAAAATAAATAAAGAACTTTTGCAACCTAATAAAACAGAATGAGTATTGACTATGGGGATTTGAGAGGGGGCTCAGCTGGCTGGACATCGTCGGTATCGAACCGGGTTGGGCCTTCTGGCATGGGTTTACTCCGTTTGAAGCCTACTGGGCCGCCGAGACTTTAAGATCATATAAAATAGAAATATTTCTACACTAGCGGATCTGATTTTAATTATTCAATACTACGAGATATTTACACTTAAAAATAGAAAGAATAAATTGGTATCAAACTCTTAAATCAAGAAATTTGAATCTAAAAACTCTCAATTACAGTGACGAAATGAGTGGCACGACACTAATGCAGCCATCAATCACTTTCTTTGCAGGATACTAATGCGATCGTGCAAAATGTATGTATGATGAAATAATCTTTGGAAAATCAACTAATTACGAAAATCACAACGCATGAAAAATATGAATTTCCCCTTAACAACACATGCTACTCCCGACTGTCTTAAAACCCTCACTCAGCTGCTAAAATATCGCATGCAAATATATTATAGCAAATGCAAAGTGCACTATATATATTCAATGCAAGAGACAAACACTAAGGTAAAATACAACAATATATATAATAATGAAACAAAACTTGAATATGCAGCATAAGAGAAAAACGAAGAGTGAAGGTTTGATACAGACTTGTGGAAAACTAGAGCATGCAGCAGATGGTCTTTGAATGAACAATGAAGGAAACATGATTTCCTTTTCTTCCTAATGCATGGTTGTCGACTAACATGTAACATCATAAGGAAGCTGTAAAAATCTCTTTTTAGCAGTGCTACGACGGCAAATGAAAAGTATTAACAGATGAAATCAATCACCAGATTTAACAATTGAAGAAGGAAAGATTAAACGAAGAAAGCTTGTGGAAGAAGAAGGCCGAAATCTTTATATCTGTTTTATTAACAAAATGAATGAATCTAGAAAATACAGAGAGGGAAAAAGTCTTATATATCTACTTCTAACACTACTAAGCTTATCACATAAGCTAACATAAAAGCTATGCTGATGTGGATGCTGATGTGGCAATTGCTGACATGTCACATATACTCAATACCCCCCCTCAATCGTAACTGGGAAGTCCCAGTTTGAGATTGCCAGTATGTCGAAGAAAATCAGGTCCATGTAAACCTTTAGTGAGAACATCTGCAACCTGATCTTTGGTAGAAACATATTGAACGATCAAGTCACCCCGTTGGACACGTTCACGAATGAAATGAAAATCTGTTTATAAATGTTTAATTCTGGAATGCTGCACTGGATTTAAACTAAGGGCAATTGCTGACTGATTGTCACAACATAACAGAGGAGGATTAGGCAACACAACACACAAATCCTTTAAAATCAACCTGAGCCAAGCAATATCAGCAGCTGCATGAGCTAAGGCCTTGTATTCAGCTTCTGTGGAACTCCGAGAAACAGAATGTTGTTTCTTAGACTGCCAGGACACAGGATTAGCACCCAAGAAAATGACATAACCAGTAATGGACCTCCGTGTATTAACATTAGCTGCCCAATCAGAATCACTATACCCCTTGATTTGCAGATCAGTTCCAGCAGTAAAAGTCAAGCCACAGGTCATAGTCCCCTGAAGAAATCGCAATATTCTCTTAACCAAACCAAAATGTACATCTGTGGGAGCACTCATGAATTGACAGACATTGTTAACAGCAAAAGCTATATCCGGTCTAGTAAATGTCAACTACTGTAAAGCGCCAACAAGACTGCGAAAGAGCGTAGGATCAGATAATAATTCCCCTTCAGCAACCAAGACAGAGTTATGTGGCTGACAGGGTGTAGAACAAGGCCTACAATTGTCCATCCCAGCTTTATGTATCAGATCTGTGATATACTTTTCTTGATTCACAAAGATATCACCATTAGATTTATAGTGGATTTGTAAACCTAGAAAGTATGTAAGCTTACCCAAATCCTTAAGATCAAACACCCCAGCCAAATCATCTATCACAGATTGAATGAAAACTGAATTTGAACCAGTGATGATGATACCATCAACATACAGTAACAGAATGACCACATCGGTATTCACTTCTTTAACAAACATGCTGGAATCTGAGAGGGACATTTGAAAACCAAGAACAGTCAAATAGCTTGTGAATTTGGCATTCCAGGCCCGTGGAGCCTGCTTTAATCCATATAAAGACTTGACAAGTTTACATACATGTGAAGGATACTCAGAGTCTACGAAACCTTGAGGTTGTTTCATATAGACCTCCTCATGTAATTCCTCATGTAAGAAAGCGTTCTTAACATCAAGTTGCCTAAGAGACCAACGATTTGTAGCTGCCAAAGCAAGAATAATCCTCACAGTGGTATGCCGAACCACAGGACTAAAGGTTTCTGTGTAATCTAAACCTTTTTCTTGACTAAAACCTTGGGCTACTAATCTAGCTTTATATCTAGAAATAGTCCCATCAGGATTTCTTTTGATTTTATATACCCACTTGCAGCCAATAATGTTCTTATCAAGGGGAGAAGGAACAAGGGTCCATGTACCTTGAGCTTGTAAAGCATCGAACTCCTCTTGCATTGCTTTCTGCCATTGAGGAATTTGAGAAGCAATTCTGAAAGTTGAAGGCTCAGAGACATCAACAATGTCTGCAAGAAATGTAAATCCTCCAGAAAAATGATTACTGTCATGTAATTCCAAGGAGTGAATGTGAGGAAACAGTGTAGCAAGAGCACTATAATCTTTCCGGGTTATAGTACTAGTCTTGAACCTTGTCTGAATACCATGAGGAACAGAATCAGGGGATAAAGCTTCAGAACCCAAAGGAACAGTTGCTGGTACCACCACTTCCAACTGTCGAGGAGAATGGACAGGCACCACAGGGGAATGTGAGAGAGTAGCATCTAAAGAGGAATCCTGTACATTGTGTTCAGAAGGAGAGTGACTTGAAGTTGGAGTACCAACTGATGTATAAGAGGATGCAGATACATGTGGAACAGCAGTACTAGAGGAAGCAAGTCCTTGTCTCGGAGAGGAAGAGACTACATTCACAACAATAGGCCGTGTAGACACATTGGTATTATTGACAGGCCCATAATTGTCACACTGTGAAGAGACTGAAGTACTAGCAAAAGGAAAACAATCCTCATCATGAATGACATGCCTAGAGATTAAAAGCTTGCCTGTAACCCGATTATAACAGATAGCACCTTTGTATCCAAAATAATAGCCCAAAAATACACATTGAGAAGATCGAGGTTGAAGCTTATGAGCATTGTAAGGTCTAAGATAAGGATAGATAGCTGAACCAAAAATTCTAATAGAAGAAATGTCAGGTGTCTTGTGGAACAAAATGCTAAAAGGAGACTTCATCCCAAGATTGTGAGCTGGCATTCGATTAATCAGAAACACAGCATGCGCAACAGCATGATACCAAAACTTGAGAGGCAATTTTGCAGCAGTCATCATAGTAAGAGCAGTCTCAACAACATGCCTATGCTTCCGTTCCACTAAACCATTTTGTTGTGGGGTGTAAGGGCAAGAAATAAAGTGTAGAATACCATGAGTATGAAGATAGTCCTTAAAAACATTACTCAAGAACTCACCACCACCATCAGTTTGAAGAACCTTGACCTTACTATTAAATTGATTCTCAACATAAGCACAAAATCGAACAAAGATACCAAAAGTTTCTGATTTATTCATTAAAGGGAATATCCATACAAATCGAGTAGCCTCATCTACAAATGACACATAGTATCTAAAACCCTCAAGAGAAGTAACAGGTGAAGGTCCCCAGATATCACAATGCACTTTATGAAATGGAATATCAACTCTATCTAGCTTTTCTGAAAAAGGCAATTTACTCATCTTGCCACTAAGACAATCAGAACAAACATGAGTAGTTACATCACTAGCTACTAAAACCTGAGAACTTTGTAACATGGCTGCGAGAATGTCATTAGAAGGGTGGCCCAACCGATGATGCCACAATGAAGACTTAACAGCTTTTCCCAATAACGCAGAAGAACAAAGAACACCTGGAGTCAGTAGCTTGGGGAACACATGTACAGGAATCCGAAACAAGTCATTATTGCTACTCCTTCCTTGGTAAAGTACCACCCCTATGGCCTTGTCCTGCACAAAGAAGTTTAAATCATCACAGATAAACCAACTGTGATTATCTTTGCACAACTGTTTTACAGAAAGAAGATTAACAGTCAACATTGGAACATGTAAAACATTACGAAGATAAAGATTATTAGGAGGATTTTGAATAGTCACAATGCCAATATTGTGAACATCCAAACCTGTACCATTCCCAACAACAATCTTCTTATCTTCATTATAAGGAACTGCAGATTCTAATAGAGTAATATCAGGACTCATATGATGTGAAGCCCCAGTGTCCACTATCTAACACTCACCCTCAGAAGCAGATTGTGTAGGTAAATCAGGCACATTTGATGACATAGTAACTCCAGGAATGTCAGAGAACATATTAGACTGTGAAGCCTGAGTCATAAAGGCAGGAGCTGGTGAAAAACCTGAAGAGGAAGACTGCGCAGAAGTGTTGCCAGGAAAACCATAAGGAATATGATATGCAGAAGAAGGTCCCGAAGGAGGATACTGAAAGACAGAGCTTAAATCCTGATAAGCATAATTGGCACTGAGAGAAGGAGGTGGAGAAGCCCCTTGATAGGAAAAGTTTCCCCTGTGTCTACAGTCAACTGCAATGTGACCCCTCTTTCCACAAATCTGGCACTCCTGAGGTGGTTGAGTATTGTCATTTCGATACAAACAAGTGACTGCAGTATGTCATTTCCTTGAGCAAATCTGACACTCAGGAATAACCTCTTGCCTATTTGATGTATTGCCAGACCAAACATTGCCATTTTTAAAACCATTAAACTTGGGTTTAAAACCCCCTGAACCTCTGCCTTTATAACCTGTAGTATTGCCATAGGAACGATGGCCTTGACCACCAAAAGCATTCCCATTAGGT